TTTATTAATTTTATTAGTAAATTTTAGGTGCAGATATGGTTAAATTATAATAATAAATAGTTAATTTATTAATTAATACAATTCCATTTTTATCTTTCGCAATGTCATTAATTTTAATATAAATCATATATTAAAACATATTAAACATTTAAAAACAAAATTATTTTTCATTTGACAATATCCAAGCAAAATAATTACATAATGCTCTAACTTTACTAATAATCAAAATTTACATACTTGGTATTGTTTTATCGCAAACATGATCTAGAAAAAAAATGTAAGTTCTTTTTTACCAAAAATAAGGGTTTATAAGGAGATCTCCAAAAGCGACCATATCAAATTATCTCGTTCATTGCAAGGTCAAACAGTTTGTTTATTATGTTTAACATCATCAAAACCACGACAGTGACAACTTAGACTTGAACTCATGTGTTTATGAAGACAAAATAAAGCACAAAAACAACAATGACAAAAAGACTTAATTTAAATTGCTCTGAAGATAAGGAAGATGATGATAAGGCAGACTGCAAAGATGATAATTTGGTTTGTTAATTCAAACGATATAAAACTAACAAACACTGCGTTTACTACACTAATATATTATAATAAAATTTAATTAAAAATTTATGTATATTTGGTTATATTTCTTATGAATGTAAGCTGTTTCCCGTTTTCTTTCAAATAAATTCTGTAATAACTCAGCTTTTCATTGTAATATAAATAGACTTTAACAGCCTTCTTCTAAACACTTCGAAAAAATGCTCAGGCAAAATGAAAATGATGTTTTTTTTCTTTTTGTTTAAATAAAAAAAATAAAATCAAATAACAATTAGAAAACATTTTACCATTATTCACCAAAAATTATCAAAAGCTGTTTTTTCCACCCCTTTACATAGACGCAAGGGTTAAAAAAATAAAAAAATAAAATTTAAATAAAAATATGGAAAAAAGAAAAGATCAAATAAAACCGTTCTCAATGTGCGAAAGAGCATCATATACTCTGTCAGCAATTTGGTTATACATCATTTTGATACGAGTTTAAAGAGTTCTTTGATCAATACCACACACATTGAACGAGTCGTGTATTTTCTTTTGGCTCATCGAATTAATTGATTGTAAAATCCATTTACACACTTCTTGTCTTGTTGCACTTTTCTTGTTTCCTTTTTTCTTTGTAACAATTGATTTTTCTTTATCTTTCATCCACAACATCCACTCATTTCGAATATTTTTTAAAACCCCTTAAACACACAAACATCTAATAGTTGAAAAAAGAAGTACAACACGAAAGGAATATAACAGGTACTGCATAGTAATCGACATTTGAAGAATTGAACACTTTTTTGTGAACAGAAAACCCGTCCATAAAAAGGACAATTTTGGGTAAAGTGAGGCGAGAAACCCGCACCCATTTTCCTTTTTCTTCTTTTACCCAAATTATTGTGTTTTTTCTTCCAGAACATGTAAAAAATAAAAAAAAGTCGTATTATTGTAGTTTCTTTTTCTTCCTTTTTAGTGTTTTTTATTCAAAAATAAAAAATGATTCGAGTTTGATTCAAAATGAACTATCAAAGAACAAAAATGGCCCGGATTTTTAAGTACTTTTAGTTTATTATAACAGTGTTTCAAATTTGTGTTTATTCAAAAAACAAATATACTATTATATAAACTATATATATAGTTTAATGATTTAAACTATATTTTTTACTTGTAATAGTTTATCAAAACCCAATTTCTAAAAATAGTTTAAATTTTCACAAGACAAATTCTATAATATAGTAATGAATAGTAAAAATATTCAAAAATTTGCTTTTTTCCAGAAAAATGTTTATTTTTTGATCAAAATATTTTCTTTTATATCTATAATACTCACGAGTCAAATTCAATTACGTTTTCGTGAAGATGCTATATTAAAGCTCGGTTGTGTGTATAATATCACTATTTTTTTTTAAATAAGTTCAAAAACAATAAAAAAGTCAAGATGTGTCTTTTTGACACATATCTTTTTTATTAATTTGTAAATAAAAACAAAAATTATGATATACAAACGAATGTACATCAACAGTACTATAATGTATCACTGCGTTATATCATACTGTAACATTATAAAAAGATGTAACAGAATGTGTTTTATTTCATATCAATCATTATCAATTATAATAAAAAAAATATATTTCTACTATTTGTTTTTTTTACAAATTAAAAAATTGTTTAACTTAAATTAAATACTTTTAATAAAAATATTTATTAAAACAACACCAACAAACTATACATATTATAATAATTATATTAATATAAACTATTAAAATGACTTTGGTTGTTGAAAAATTAGATGGGTTTTATATCCACCATTATTTTTCCTCAAAAACTTTTATTAAGAACATAAAATTAAGATAAACCAGTTCAAATAATCAAACTCAACACAAACAACAGAGACTTGTTTGTGTTGAGTTGTTGCGGATTCCCATTACCGTTTGGCAATTTTATTTATTTATACACATAGCGCATATAAATTAACAATTAGATAATTCAAATTACGCGCGACTAATGTTTGTTTGTTTTTTGTGTCATTTATTATGTTTAAGTGGCTGATAAATACACAATATTAACTATTAGAAATGGATTTAAAGTGGATATAAATTATTGATTACTTATTAATATTTTTATGGTTAATAAACTGAATAACAATCTATAGTTTAGATACTATATTAAACTAATCAGTAACTAATTGTTTAAAGTATGTATTAGGAAGTGAACCTTATATTATATTTTTTAATCTAAACATTTAATAAGTTATATTAAAATTAAACCTAAAATATGTTCAAAAGCTTATTAATAACTTCATTAGAAATATCAGGATAATATTTATTAATTTTTAATTTCCTAATAATTTATATTTGTTATTTAAAGTTAATTTCATTAAGTTTTTATATTGTATTTTAATTATAAGAACATTCTTAATTAATCAAAAAACTGAGACTGAACCTTTTTTCATTCAACAGCTTTTCAAAGAAGAAAAAAGAAAATGGGTGTGGGTTTTTCTCCAGGTGTGAGTTTCTCGCCTCACTTTAGTCCCATTTTTTTTCTTTGTATAAAAATAGCCCTTCTTCTACCCATCTTCGCATTTTCTCGGAATCGTTACAACCACCGTGATTCACTACAGCAATAATACCTTCAGTTTTTGGAGCATTTTTAAGTCTGGGAAAAACAACCAAAAAAGTTAAAACTTTCCCATTTTTGGTTATAGCCACAATGAATGATACCTTCAATTTTTCTTTTCCACAAGTTGCAACTGAAACATGTTTCACACATTTCATTTCAATCTTTGTATCTGGACACATATCAAAATCAATTACAGTTTCATCCAAATTCATAATTGCATCATTTTCGATGCCATCAAGAATGTTTTCAATTTTTCATTAAATGTTGAACTGTTTCTTTGGTTTTTGCAATTTCATTTTGGGATTTTCAATGAAAGAGTGAGTTACTCTTCGAATGACAATCCAAATCGCCTTATTATTCCATAAACCCATTTCTATTGTTTGTGTTCTTTTATCAAAGTTTTTCTCTTCTTCAAAAAGTCGAGAATCAATGGCATGTTGACTATTTTGTTGTCTCGTCTATATTCTTTGACAAATATATACAATTCGTTTTCAATGTTAAAACATTTTGGGCGTCTTCCAGAACCCAAAGATTTCCTTCTTGACTGTTTGTTGTCCGCCTTTTTAATTGGCTTAACATCATGACCACCGTTTCACTGTTGTATAAGGAATGTTTCTATCTTTACTAATTGAGTACAGTGATTTTCTGGGAACACCATCATGAGGAAGAGATGGCTTAAGTATGTCTAATTTAAACTTTATTGTGTAAGACTTTTGTCTTCCCATTTAATTGTAATACCTAAAAATATCCTTTATATATTTATTCTTTATGCTAAAATCAATTTTATATTGTTATTTTGTTTTTGTTGTTTTTATTGTTATGGAAAAAATAATTAGGCCCGGTTTTAATTTTGCTAAAAAATAAAAAAAATAAAAAAACGATAGGCCCGGATTTTTTAAGGATATACTGTACATTTTTGAAAATTGATTTTGTAATAACAATTGTTGATTAATTGTAAACATTTACGTTATTAATCCGGTATTTTTGTCTTAAAAAATTAATTTTTTAGAACTAATCAACCAAAATAATGTTTTTTTTTCTTTTTCAGTCTTTTTTTCTTAACTTATACTTAAACCATTGTTCAATACTAAACAGCTTTTGTCTTTTTTTAACTTTGTATTTTAAGCTCTTATTGACAAGTTTTCTAATGAGAATTGTTAAAAATTATTTTTTTATGGTAAACATTATTATATTTTGCCGACAATTTATTTTTTGTCGGAAAATTCCTCCTTTCTAAATATATAACACTAAATGAACAACAATTAATAAAGATACATTGTCAAAGTAAAAACAATACATTCGGTCATAAAATGTCATTTAATATATTTTTGGCGATGAAAAATTGAATATTTCAGGAAGCCATCCCAAAAATTTAATCCAATTGTTTCAAAATTTTTCCATGTTTTACCTAATGCCCGTTGTTTACACAAAATTAAAGCGATTTTTTCTCCACCAGATAACTTTAAATTATAAATACTGGCTTTTTTTAAATATCGTTATTTTATTTAAAAAATATAATTACATTGAAAAATTGTCATTCTATTTAAAATATTCCACTCACACTTATAAATAACTGTTTAAAAATCACAATTTGATTCTTTAGTGTTAACAACTGAGTTGATTATTGCTCAACAATAATAAATAAAGTAAAAATAAACTATATATAATGGAGATGAATTGTTCGCAGTCAAATATGACCATTTCTATAAATTGTCCACATTTTTTCGCATCTTAAGTTGCAATCTCATTAAATAGTTATATAAACTATACTTATTATCGTCTGATCCTTACCAAGCAACAATGCAGTTATTTCCATTCACGAAACTCGAAAACCAATAATGTTTTCCACTATTTTAATACCAATTGTCGTTTTCTCTTGCGTTTTTTCTCTTGAATCTTATGTCGAAGAACCTGGGCTAACTTCTCATGAAAAAGTAAAGAAGGCCTTCCTATGGGCTATCGACCAGAATACCAATATTGAAGCTGAAAAAGAAGAAAACCCTGACGCTCCTTATATCCAAGGTGGCTCTTTTCAATCTTCATTCAGCTTTTACCCCAATTTAGAAATGGTAGTCGTGTCATCTACGAAGGAATACGATATATATTGTTTGTTTAATATTTCAAGTAACGTGTTAAATTGCTATCTTTTAATAGTAATTTTACTTAAATAAATAGTAAATGAAATATGGAATAATAAGTAGACGACGATAATGCAAATGCACCTCAGCTGTTCCTCACTCTTCAAGACGACTTCACAGGCGAGACTTCCATAAAAGAGTACACATACCATGTCATGGACACCGCCGTAGGATCAAGGTTGATGGATTATGGGTGGCAAACTTCATTCTTCCCATTACCAGACTTTTTTAATTCGACATCTTTTCTTCACAAACCATCACAAACAAAAACTTCTGCGTTTGTAGCGTTCATGTCGTACCCCATTGATAACAAAATACTGTCTAAACCGACATTTGGAAAGACTTTAAAGGCTCTTCAGATCAAAGGAGGAAACATGAAGGAGAGCAACCTCTTCAATTTGACTGGAAACGTCTTTGTCGACTTTAAAGTCAAACAATGTGCTTCTTTCTTCCAAAAAGGGTTTCCACAAGATTACGAGACACCAATGAAGGATTGGGAAACTATTATTAACTCTACTGGCTGGTCTGTAGGGAAGGACATTTCTCTTTTAATGTCATTTACGTTCCAAGGGTATTTCTGCTTACCAATGTTGGACTATGTCTTTTTGAGTGAGAATAAAAAGGTGTCAAATGACTGGAGGTACTGTGATAAATTTCAAGAGGATCCGTTGATGATTAGTGACCCCTGTTGTAACAGAGAGGTTGATGGTGTGTGTAACACATTCAGGGACAGAAATTCAGTTTATGTTGGGAAAGATTCTGTGTGTCTTTTCAACTACTTTACATACACTGATTTGAACTTGACGAACCGAGAGAAGATCAAATTGGAAGTGAGGAGTTATGGGATGAAAGATGTCACACAGTACTACCACGACTTCCACTTCCAAATAATACCAACTATCTTGTGGGACTTGACTGAAACGACAAACAGAAAGGAGATGACGTGTAGAAACATATTGAATAACCAAGATGTGTACTACGACGAATACAAAGAGTGTCCAATAGACATCCACTTTGATAATGAAATTGTGTCTAAAGGCAATTGTTTTGTCCCCAGCGAGCAGTTGATGCCTCTCTTAGTCATTATGTGTGAACAAGGAATTGATGATTCTGGCCGGATTCGAAGGTTCAACACCGCTGAACTTGACCAGATCAAATTGATATTAGAAGACCCAGTAGAAAAAGAGTATCCATATGACTCTGCACATCC